ACCAGAACCCGCGACTACAGAACATGCTCCTAAGAATTGGACTGGAGTTGTCGTCTGAGGAAATAAAAAATCCGGCTACAAGAAGAGACTATCGAGGTAACGTGATCTATTCATGGGCGGCTCCGTGGCATGGGGCCCATGGTAAAATTCGAACTTAATGTCACGTAAAGCATCGTCAAAACTTTTCGTTTGTAATCTCCTGCATTGAAAATCGCACTGTGTCACTTTGTACCCTCGTCTCTTAAATGCGGTATAATAGCGTAGCAGATCTTCCGCGTAGGTATTGACGTGATTGATCTTTCCCCATCGAATTGACTTGCCCGATGGGGTAGTGACATAGGCCTCGAATGTCGCCTCAGGGCAATAACAATCTGCCCCTGAAATGCGCGGCTCACAGTGGTCTTGGTACTTTTGACTACAGCCGCTCTGTCCATAGAAGCCTAGTCCGGGATATGCCAGCCCTACGTCGTGTATGTGTTCTTCACTGCTCCGTAAGGGGTCTTCGCCAATAGACTCTGTTAGCACCCATCCGCGCTGGAAAAATTTACGATATCCCGTATTCTCTTCGAAGCAGCGGAAGGAGCATTTGGAGGGTTTCAGGCGATGGACGACTGCTTCCCAGACGGTGGGGAAATCGAACCTGTACGGATAACCAAAGCTGTAGCACTCCGATATCGAGCTCCGGTCATCTGTACAAACGACCCAGCCTCCGCCGTCAGAACAATCGGACCAGTCGAGCTGCTCCCAGCCGTTCATAGTTGCTTCTATCAGTGGTGCCTTGAGATCAGCGAATGTCTCGCTACACGATCCCTCCTTCAGCAAAGCTAACTGCTGTGCTGAAATCATTGATGCTCCATCGAACGGGGGCTTGATAGGCCCTGCGCCACTCTTATCAACACCGGAACTGACGCACTCGGAAGCGTTCTTGACGAGCACGATAGGCGTTGTAACGTCGGACAAAGTAGAGTGGTATCTCGTAGCGTCGTGGTATATCGTAGCGTCCAACGGAGTAGGGCTATGGGTTGCAGCATCGGACGGAGTATCCGTGTATATTGCACCATCGGACGGAGTAGGGTTGTACGTGTACTCTGGCCCTGAAACACGGGCACTGGAGCAGCCATCCTGGGATCCGTTCAAGTAGGAGCACAACGCCGCCAATCCCACACCGCTTACAACTCCAAGACCAAACACACCCACACCTTTGGCAAATGCTGGTGTTAGCCACCAGCTTCTGGTATCTTCGTGAATGTACTGACCTTCGACCTCAACAACATAGTTCTTCGGCCCCGAAGCCTTGATTATTGGCTTCCACTCATTTGGGACCTGCGCCAACAGGTGCTCCAGTTCATCCGCGTCTAATGCATTCACATCCGCGATTTCTAACTTGACGTCTCCGTCGCCGCACTTATCCGGCACACGTTTCTTGACCAACGCTTCTTCGAATACGGACTCAGCAACGGACGGGTCCGCGTGTGCCGTATGCTGCTTCAGAATGCGGGCAAGGACGCGCTCAACTCGCCTTGAGGCCTTGGCGAACTCCTGGGACTCATCGGGCGCATGGTAGATTCGTACTCGTCTCCACCTTTCCACCCAGTCGTAGCTGTCTGACTGAAGGGCGGCCTTTTCGAACTCAGACGGAGGCGCGATCGCAAGAACTTGCGCCGCGTTCTTTCCATCCGACAACACAACCATATTTGCCACGCAACCTTCGAGGGATGTTTTGGCACCATCCGGACCCACGATGGCGGCAACCGCCACGTAGCCAGTGAAGTAGTCCGAACGCGCACTCGAGAAACCTTTCATTTCAGTACAACTTAAAAAACAGGAATGCCCCGTACGAGACAAAACAGCCCAAGGGTGGAAAGTTTTGTTGGCGAGTTGGGACGGCTGTGCGACTGGCGGGTGGGCTGTTGATCCTGGATGGGGGTTGGTGGTTGCGTGAGTCGTGGTTCATGCGACACCGGTCGGTGTCTGGACAATTGTATTACTGTCGATTTGGTCGATTTTTTCCGGCGAAGCTGTGGGAGCGTTCACCGATGAATGGGAAGGACCAGGGGCGAGGAGGCGTTGCCGGGAGTGGGGTCTTTGTCGCTGGGAATTTGTGGCAGTCACAGGTCCGACCAGGGTGTTGAAATCGCTGCAACCGAACGCACCCAACAGTTCGCTAACTAACTAATTAACTGACTGATGGCCACGTGTTATAGTTCGTGAGTGCTGATCAGCGAGGGGATATTCGTTTGCAGTTGTCTCGCCCTTTGCATGGCTAGACCACTGCAAGTTAACAAAGCAAGTATGACCACGTAGCCACCGGTGATGGCCGTAGAGCTGTCAATGGTGGAGGTCTTCACCCACGTTCGCCAGTGGCTCCACAACGTGTTTGGCAGTCGTGAGTACACAACCAAAGATGTGAGCGTGTTCCAACAGGTCAGCGACACTACTGACGTCGCCGCAATGACACATACGTCCCTATACGACTCCCAGACCAGATAGCACAAGAGTCCAACCAGACCCAGCAAGAAGTAGTTGTCGTAATACCCGAAGAGACTTGTTGCCTGCTTTGCCATTGCCAGAGACAATATGCCGTTGTCAATCTTGTCTCTGCAGGCATTGGTCCTCTCCGCGCCCGTGCTCCCCTCCGCGCCCATGCTTTCCCCCCTGTGCTACGCACACGTGCTACCCACCAGCGCTGCGCACACGTGCTACCCACCAGCGCTGCGCACACGTGCTACCCACCAGCGCTGCGCACACGTGCTACCCACCAGCGCTGCGCACACGTGCTACCCACCAGCGCTGCGCACACGTGCTACCCACCAGCGCTACGCACACACTGAGTCTGTCCACACCCGTGTGTAGCTCACATTTGGTATGTGTACCGCGCCGCCATGGCCATGAGGCCCACGAGGCCTGCGAAATACTGGGCCGGATTCAGCCAGATGCAGGCACCAAGCTCCGCCAATACAAACCAGGCAAGGACGTGACTCCAGCGCCTCGAAAACCGGTCCGCTCTGTTGGGGACATGCCTGTTATTGCGAGGTGACTTACGTGCAGACGTAGATCTGCCAGCTGCTCAAGATGAGCATCGCTCCATGGAGATAAAGTTGTACGTACTGGTACATTGTCAAAAACATTTCCGCTTGTGAACTACGGCTACACGACTCCAGCTTGCTTTTAGCACCCTGGAGCATTACACATAAGTTTGGCCAATTTTCTCAAACGTGGTTTGCAAAATATTTTTCGGACTTAGCAAAGCCTGTTGGCCAAGATGTCGGCAAATTCGGTATTCAATACATCAGCCAATTCCTATGGCAACAGACATGACCCGGTCGTGGTGCTACATCTAAGGGGGGGTGCCTACATCCGGGCAGGGAGTGTATTGATTACAACTTTATTATCCAGACACTCAACATCCACTTCGTATTGCCAGTTTCGTTTTCTTTCCTTCTTGACGATGCGTTGGAAGGCGTGCCCCCACTGCGTCTCCGAGAGTCTCCAACTCTTTCGGACTTCTAGGAGACGGCTGGACTGGTTATCGACGAATGACAACAGGACCATGAGTTCATATTTCTCACCTTCCATCACCAACCTGGACAAGCAGGAGGGGCCCAGCGCCTCGCGAAGATCGGACTGGTGAATCGTGACGGTGACCGGCAATTCTAAGAACTGCAGAGGTAGGTCGGTGTAGTAGTGCATCAGTTGAGTAATGACGAGATCTTGCGGTTCATGTCGTAGGAGGAAGATGGTCAACTTTGGGTCGAAGAACGCACACTGAGTCAAGTTCATCAAACGGAATGATAGCGAGAAATTGCACTCGTCGAACTTCTGCAACGGAGAGCCACTTTCCGGTGACTTCACATCAATTGCCACGTAATCGTCTTCCGATGTATGACGACCTCCTGCCTCCGGGTCGTCGGCCACGTAGTTACCTGCCTCACCTCCATAGCCACTTCCATCCAAGTACTCAACCTGATAATTGTTGGGCGTCACCAGACCGGGGGTCACCAAGCCCTGTGCCTCTCTAGAGTCCCTTGCAAAGGTATGGCTGTTCAGCAAATTGCCGACACAACTCGGTCCCGCCGTAAACGACAGAGCTGCCTCCTCAGCCTCGTCCACTTCCGACACCGCCAACACGCCTTGCAGCTCTTCCAAATGGCTTAGCCTGTCCTCCGCGGAAGGCCAGAGAGTCTCGGCTCTTACCGATCCAATGGGACCGCTGCCAAAGTCGGCCGTTGCCCTCAGTTCATCATCCCTCGCACTCCCTTCCCTCGCTTTTCTCACTCTCGCTTCGTCTTCGCGGGCCTGGTCATCAATCAACGCTCCCTGCAGCCCGCCCTCTTGCGAAAACCCTTTTCGCTGCTGCCTCTCCCGTGTGTTATATGCTTTCCCCTCCTCCCTTGTATGTGTGTTCCTGGTGTCCAACGAAATAGCGCCCAGCGACACTGCACCCAGTGAGCGGTAGCCGCGGCGGTCGAAGAAGGCACGTGACTCCAGCTGAGTACGGGACTCCAGCTGATTCCGGAGTCGTGCGTTGTAGTCGACCCGGTCGGCGCCGAACATACCGCTGGCGCTGAACATACCGCTCCCGTTGAGCACGCCATTGCCTGAGTAAACGTTGCTGTACAGCCGCCGCCAAGAGCGGTCCCGGGCGTTGGTGGTGCAATCTTTGGTCGATTCGGAGGCTGGCGAGCGTGCTGGCAGTCCGGGCTGCTTTCCCGCGGGTGCCAGCGGGTGCATTCTGCCTTGGCCGTAGCACTTTGCATCATGGCCTTGTTCCTCGTAGCCTTGCGTGTCGTAGGTGTGTTGATCTTGGAAGAATCGGCCGGCGGCAGAGTCACGTCCTCTGGCTGTGTCTTGGCTGTTGAGGCGAGGATCTTCGGACAGGCAGCCGAGTATGCTGGGGCTGAAGGCCATGGCGTAGCGGCGGGGAGTGCCGGAAGAGAATTTGGAAAAGACGATGCCAATGACAATGCCGTGGACGACGTTCGTGAAGAGGACGGCACCGGAGACCCAGACATTGGCGGCGGTGCAGCTGGGGTGACGCGGCGCGCCGAAGCCAATTGTGAACATGGTCTCGATGGCGAAGTAGTAGTAGTTGGCCAGCCCTTGAACGTTGCCGCCGAGACAGCCACGCACGTCGCCGCCGGTCATGACGTAAAGCGTAGTAGCCAACAACAAAGCAAAGAGCGCCTCGCCCAGTACCAACACCAAAACCAACTGGCGAAAGGAAAGGGCTAGTAACGTATGGAACTGATCACGCAACCAGAACCCCATTCGTCCACTAAGTCCCTGCCACGTGTGGTTAATACGGAAATTGCTGTCCGACTCCGACAGCACTTGACTCTCCCAACCTGCCAACTCGGCGGCGGCCGGGCTCACACTGTACGCCAAACGCAACGTGCCTGGCGACGTGCGAGGCGCCGCCGCTGCGTCCGAGTGCAAAGACGACCCGCCGCCGGAGCCACCGGTCTGCGGCCCGCGGGGACGCATACAGGACGCGGGCAGGAGCAGAAGGGGGTCGCGGAGGCCTTCGCTCCCAATCGAAGAAGTATCCACCGTCATGATGGCAGCCACAAGGACCACGACGGTCTCACTTAATTTCAGTAAGATAAGACCGCTCCTGGAAAATTCTCACAAATGGTATTTACAGGGGCTTCGCCGCCCCCCCACGAACACAGTACGCCTCTGGACATGTCCGCACACTGACTCAGCGCTCTTGCAGAGCTCGCCACTTGAAGACGGGAGTGCCGGTCGCGGCGGCGACGGCTACGGTGTGGGGGACGGGTATGGTGCTGGCGACGACAGTTACGGCGGCTACGACGCAGAGGAGTTGGTGTTTGCGTCGGAGGGTCGTCCGTGGCGGAGCAGACTGGTGCGGTGGCGGCGGCGTGTAGTGCGTGTATTGGACGGGCAGTGGAGCGAGGTGCACGGAAAGACGGTGTTTGCGTGTCTGGCTGGGTTGATCGTGGTGTTGTACGTATTGGCTTGGTTGACGGTGCCGAACAGTGTGCAACGTGAAGCGGTGCCGCTGCGAAGCACACACGTGTGGTTGGCACAGGCGGATGCATTGGGAGCCTGGGGTAGTGCGGAGGTTGCGCCAATTCTGCCTGAGCTGTTGCATGAGTCCCGAGGTTTGTGTGAGCAGTTGACGAAGGCGCCAGTCTTTTTGGTGGCCTCGGAAACGGGTCAGTTTCCGTTGCGAAGTTTCTACCGTATGCTCTTCGAACAGGTGGGCGTGCACAATTACCTGTTCGTCTCCGGCACGGCGGACTACCAGAGTAACCTGCGACTCGCTCAAGAGTCAGACAAACACGGCGACCTAGTAATCGGCGGCTTCATCGACTCTGCCGAAAACAGAGACGTCGGCGGCCATGCGACCGGTTTACGTTTCGTAGCCGAATGCCTCTCCGGCGTCTACCCTTCCGAGACCCTCGTTGGCCTTAGCACATCCACAGTCCCAAATTTCCACCAGCTAAGTTCCCTCCTACTTGAACTTGGCGAAAGCCCCTGGACCGCCGCCAACTGGGACGCTAACAACACCCGCATAGTCGCCAGCGACGGCGCCGGCATTGTGGCCAACTGGGTGGTCCTCGGCCAAGACGTCAACGCTCTCAGCAACAGCTATCTCCTCCGCATCCGAGATTCCAAGACCCTAGTCGATTACCTGCTCAATCTGCACGACCGCTGGTGGACCGCACCCACAGACGCCGGAGAGGACGACTCCGATTCTGCAGCTGGAGTTCAAGGTGCAGTTGAAGCTGCATCTGGTTCCGACTCAGGCTACAGAGCTGGTTCCGAAGCGGGGTTACGGTTTACTGGTGGTGGTTATTTTATCCCGCCTGAGAGTCCGGTATACGACAAATCGTTTATGGCTGTTTTGGGTCTGGCAGCGAAGGAGACGGGGTTAAACATTTTGAGCACGGACAAGTTCTGGACGGACAAGCAGACGCCGTGCTTCTCGAAGTGGACTAACTGTATCTGCAGCGGGTGGCTGACGACGGAGGTCGTGGACCCGGCGGACGCGGAAGCGATCACGCGAACGGTACACGAGAAGTGTCCCCCGGAAACATTCGATCTTGATGCGCCGTCAAAGAACGGGTTGCAGGGTACCCCGTTGCGCGGCCCGGCCTTTCCCGAAGTAGTCTTCGAGGCGGTCGGGCTTTGTGCTACTCTTCCCCGGACCGCGATCCTCCTCTTCTCGAAACCTACTGATAGCAAACAGCGAACACGTGCACGCACACAATTGCACACTATTACTGGCGGTCGAGTCAAGCCGGTTTTCCCGCTCGGCCGCGTGGATGGCGCCTGGGGATTGGAGGTCGACCGGAGACTACGACGGGAACAGGCCGAATTTAACGACTTGCTCATCGGCAACTATTACGATAGTTACGAAACGCTGAGTTCCAAAACTGCCATGGGGCTACAGTGGGCTTCTGACTGCATGAAGGAGAACTCCAAGGTGCTCTGGGTCGTGAAGACAGACGTCGACATGGTCGTCAATTACCCTCTTCTGAACCAAATCCTTGACTCGATCGTGGATCAAGGACTTGACCCCAAAAACGGCCTCATTGGCGGCAGTGAATCTACTGGTGAGGAATCTGCTTCTGATAAGGAGTTATGGCGCGTCCAAGAGAACACGTTCTGGATGGGGAATGTGTGGTCGGATAACTCCGTTCCGGTTATCAAGGACTTGACAGTGAAGAACGCTGATGCTTTGGCACTGGACTTTTACCCTGCATATGTCTCGGGCGGGTTCTATGTGATGAATCGCAACATGACAGAGTTGTTTGTGAAGGGTCGTACGAAGTGGTTCGACGCCTACTTCCGTAACGAAGACGCGATGGTAGGACTTGTGACCAACGAGTTCAAAATCCAGCCGCTACATCTACACGGTGTTCTGGCTGTCGGTTTCGGAATGACCGACAACGTGGTCTGCAAACAGGGCAGCATCAGCCTCACCGACTGCGATTGCCACAGCCTCCTCTGCTTCTCCGGCACCAAAAACGAAAATGAGATCGCCGCCTCATTCGTCGACCTATGCGACTGGTCCGAATCATACACTCTCAAAACCATTCTGCCTCTAGAACGCCAGCACATGGACGTAGCCACTGCCCTAAACGCCCTTGCCAAGGCCTCCAAGGAAACCAAAACCGTCCATCTAACACCTTCGAACGAAATCCAGGCCATGCAAAAACGAATGGAAGGCTTCCTGCCCACTGGCTCAACCACGCCACCACCCTCTGGACGCATCGAAGACGCCCACTACGAAGGCCCCGACTCAGGAGGACCTTGGTCCATCGCCTGACCCAGGCAGATGTCTCCGGTGATCCGGATCGAAACGGATCTCTGGGATCCAGATCAGAAAGAACTAGGTCTTTTGGATCTAGCTCTGTATGGTCTATATGGTCGGGACAAACCGAGTTCAGAACGAAACTTGGTAAAGGCTGATGCCGAGGGGTACATGTGTTGGGAGCGAAATTTTTCTATGGTGCTCCTCAAGCGCCCCTCTCTGCTGTTGGCGTTGGTGCTTAGTGGTGGGAGGGGAGTTTGTGGCGAGGGTCATCCGTTGGTGTTGATCCCGGGTATAACGGGTACGGGTTTGCTGGCGAAGTTGAGTGAGGAGTCGGAGTATTTCTCGTGTCGAAATCAGTGGGAGGTGGAGACGCAAGACGACCGGGATGATCCTCCGGTATTGGGAGGGGAAGTTTCGGTTCTTGGTAAGGGTCCGGTGGGTGTGGAGGTTGGTCAGTGGTATCGGACATGGTTGACGCTGGACACATTTCGGCCCCCGGAATCTCATCAGGAGTGTTGGTATAAGGTGATGGGTTTGCGATATCAGAAGCCGTTGATGAAGTGGCATTCGTTAGGGACTTGGGTAGACCCACCAGGTGTGGAGACACGTGTGGACGATGGACTCCATGGTGTGGATTACTTAGATTACCTCGCGGGATACGGACTAAGTCCGACTAGGTATTACCATGACTTGATTAATGGGGTTCTGGCAGCGTTTCCACACTACCAGAAGAACGTTAATTTTACCGCGTTCGGCTATGACTGGAGATTGCCCCCATGGCAACTGGATTGGAACTCACTCACCAAACATATTGAAGATTTACATAGCAGACAAGGCAAACCTGTAGTACTTATCAGCCACTCAATGGGCAGCTTATGGCTCAACTACTATTTGAACACATACACTACCACTAGGTGGAAAAGGCAGCATATTCGAGCTCTCATATCAATCAATGGAGCTAATGGTGGTAGTTTCAAAACCCTGAGAGCACTCATTAGCGGATACTCTCCCATCACCTTCTCCTGGTTTGACTACCTTAAAATACCTCAACTCATCTCCTTACCCAAAGTCAGAACCCTCTGCCAAACCTACCCGGCCCTCTTCTCCCTTCTACCAAACGATGTTATATACGGACCGGACTCGCACGTGGTCACGTATAAAGACTCACACGGAACCCAACAAAGTAAGAACAAACAACCCACCGGGTGCAGAGACGGGTCGAATCGTGTTGTAGGATACACTCTACAAAACTGGACTGATACATTGCCTTCAAATGAGCTAAAAGATCAAATAGAGAGCGTCAAAACGACGTTAGGAAATGTTGGACTCCAGGACCCAGAAGTGGAATATTATTGCCTCTACTCTATTCAAAACGAACAATCAACCGAATTTAGATATTCTTATGATACTGGGACCTTCGATAAGGATCCTTCAATGTAAGACATCACCTCATGTAAGACCTCACCTCATGTAAATTTACCTCATGTAAATTTACCTCATGTAAATTTACCTCATGTAAATCTGCCACACTGGAACGGTTAGTCCCGTTACATTGGACCGGTTAGTCCCGTTACATTGGACCGGTTATTCTCTCTCACTCTTAGTCAATACACCTGGGGCGACGGAACAATAGCAGCACCAAGTCTAACATACTGTCGTGCTTGGGATAGTACTCGGATGGTTAAGGTTTTCAAAGGCATTGATCATATGTTTGCATTACGAGACTCAGCAGTGATATCATCGGTTGTGAATATTCTGAGTAATCTATGACGCAATGACGTATGCAATGACACACACTCAATGGCACACCGTATTAGCCGCAATGAGGAGTTGGCTTGTTGACAAGCCGCTCAATAACCAGCTTGTTGACAAGCCGAGTGAAATGGGCATGGGGAGCCGAGTGAAAGTAGGGCACCGAAGTGGAGCGAGCACTGGGGTAGTTACGTCAAATTCGTGGTGGTCGACTTGCAGCTTTTTGTTTGTGGGGGCCTGGTTACCTGTGGTGTGGGTGAAGAATTCAACATAGCCGTAGCCCCGACTGGTGCTACACTCTCCGACAGTTTCGGCTTTGTGCCAATTGGCGTAGAGAACTTTGTTCGATGGTCGGAAGTGTTTTCAAACATATCGTACTCCCCTAATGCACACCAGGTCGCCTCCTGAATGCACACCAGGTCGCCTTCGCCACTCACTTGCCAAACACTGCCATCGTCCCGTCCAATGATACCCTCGTCTACCCCGCACTCGCCAACCGCCGCATAAACCAGTCTTCAAGGCAATAATGATGAGATAATAATATCCACACCCCGGAAGACAGATCGCGGGGTGCCGATCTCAGGGTCCTATTTCGCCGTGTGGCTAACCCACATGCAATCGACACACATACCTAACCCGCACACTGTTTCTTAGAAGGTACGCCCAAATTCGCACTCTTCCACCGGTCAAAAAGGAGCGGGGGGGAGACGAGTAACCTGCGAATATAACATCTGTTCCGTCTTGATCTGCTCCAGAGGCTTATCACCGTGGTCCACATGATCTAGCAAGTTATGTTGGTCCCGAAGTAGTTCGTCGAGAATGTGCCGACATTCCGGTCCGAAGCCTCTGGTCAAATCTTCAAAGGTCAACGACGCACAGTTCGAGGCCAATGCACCCACGCGAGATTCACGCGAAGAGTGTGATACTCGCTGTAGCACCCAATAATGGCACTGAGCCCATGGCAGTCCCGTCTCTCGTGCCACACTACGCATGTCCGCAATCAAGCCGCTTTCTCGACAGCCTCGGTCTCGGTTCTTGACCTGCACAAAGACGGCGGCCATGTGCCGAGGCACCACCACCGCTGTTTCGTCGACCAAAATCGGCAAGACAATGTCGTACGCACGCTGGTTGGGACACGACGGAAA